GATATGATATTTGTTGTCCTAATTAGTCAATGGAGGCATTAGTTAGTGAAGCTTTTGGCCCATCACTTTCAATTGTTCACTTACATCAAGAACTACTTTGGTCAATCTAAACATAGTTTAGTAGTTAAAACATGTATCATCTATTTGGCTTAAATTGGCTTTATTCGCTCTTGGCCATGCAGTGAACATACTACCAGGACAAACCTTGTGTAGGCCAAGGTCACCTCCTTGTCATTCGAAGACACATTTTTCTGCGGTCTTCCAAAGTACACTTCATTACCCTCAACCAATTGAAGGCGAACACAATGTCAACCATTGTTCAATACGGAAGACCTCGTTATGATCTCTACTTGCCATCATCCACAAACATTATGGAGTGAGAATGAGAAACCATTCTGTACCATTAACACTCTCAAGCATCAAGTGCATGTGCAGCATGATTTGTGACACCTCTAACCAAGACCCCTAAATAATGGAGTAGTCTTCTCCATTGAAGATCGTCAAACCTTAGCTATCGATACACTTACTATTTTCGTCCTTTATTTTTTCAACCTTTCTCATATTTACCATCCTTCTCTATCCTAATAGAACGCCCTAGGCTAGTACCACGCTAGTAACTACTCCGACACAAATTTCTCTTTTTATAATAATATGTCTTTTAAAAAATTGAAGAAATTTCTTTAGCAATCAAGACAACCCTAAGTAGGTAGATAGACCAACATTTCGTTCATCAATTTATTGTGTTTAGATTTTCTTTAATAAAAATAATTATTTCCATTAAAAGAAAGATATATCTATCTTAAATTATCTCCAAATTAGTTTTCTTGAAGTACAACTTCAAACGTATTGCTTTGACCAATATGTCAGAATTTACATCTTCCCCATGCATGGAATAAATTCTACAAATATACCAATAATTTCATGAATTCAAATTTTATATATACTAAGAAAAAAAAACATTGGGGGTAAATAGGAGAGGGGGAAGAATGGAAGAACAGGAATAAGTGACACGTGTACGGCCAGGTGGGCTTTGGTTGTGGGTCCCTCTCATCAGTTAACCATTGGTGGTGAGTCAAAAACTTGCATTTTTGAAAATTACAGTGCCCATACTTCTCATTCAACCTACTCCTTTTTTTCTCTCTCTCATCTGTAGAGAGAGAGAGAGATTGGTTACGTGGCGTGTTTTCAGGAGATGGTGCATCAAAATTCGGTGTGGCTTGCGTGTAGACTAACTTCAAATTGCAATTTCATTCTCAATAAAACAATAGTTTCATTTAAACAAAACATTACTATTCAAATAACATAATTATGATCTTATTAATATCTTTAACCCGTTAAATTATTAGGCACATTAATTTCAGTTTAATCTTCATGTAAAAAAAAAATCATTATTGTCTCAATCCTCTCATTAAAATATATCGGATAGGGACACCGACCGTTCATATAAAATGTTTTTCTTCAATTTAATTTTTGGGATGACGAAAGACATTTTCCAAATATTTTTAAAGAGAAAGAAGACCATGGAGTCAAAGAGAACACTAATGTAGTGTCAATCTATGCCTATGTTGTTCACTAAATGTGTCAAGAGATTAACGACTCGAAGTCGTGGTTTACTAAAGAAGATCAAGCAGCGAGTGAGGAGCATTCTTTGAATAGCCTTGTCCTCGATGAACCTCGTACTCAATACTTTAATAGAGAACATGTTGACTAAACCAATAAGTTTTCTCGCTCATGCAAATATCACATTATAGAGATTAGACCACATGAATTTTTTAAATTGAAACTTGAAAAGGATTATAGCTGATACTAAAAAATAATACGTTAAAATACTATTTTAGTTCTTGTATTTTTAATTTTGATTCATTTTGGTCACTCCATTTTCAACATTTTCATTTTGGTCTTTGTACTTTTGAAAAAGCAATCGTTTTAGTCCTTTCATTTTATGTTTTATCTTTTGTTTTTCTATCACAATTTTAACACAACAATACACATAATACATTTCTTGAGACGTAGCCGTAATTTTATACTAAAAGACTTCTGTTGTATATTAAATTTATGTTAAAATTTTATAAATAAAGATCAAAATAATCCGTTTTCAAAAGTACAAAAATTTTCAACCTACGAACTAAACTGAATTAAAATGAACCAAAATATTGAGCACCAAAATAATAATAAGAAAATATTGAGTGAAAAGTATAAAAATTAGAAAACAAAAGAAAAACATGGCGTGTGTATTAAGTTAAGCACTGCCAAAATCATCTCCATTTCCGTGCATTACACTTGCACCTCTCTGTCCCTGACACCCTAAATTTTGTTTTAATTTATAAAATACAAACTTTCAAATAATTATTTTTTTCTTCTTAATAAATAAAAATAAAATACAACCAACGGATCTGGCGTAAAATACAGACCACGTGATCCCACACGAAGGCAGCAGCTTCGAAGATGTACGGCTATGATTCACTGATTCATAAGTACGCGTTTTTGTTTGTTTTCTGATCTTTCACTCCACTTCCGCCCCTTCTCAACAAATATTTTCCTACTTTATCCTTATTTTATTTTCAATCCAACATAATTCAATTCATCCAGGTACGTATCATTAACGGAAGTCCGTTAAAATTTTTACTCGCACGTACTAATAAAATATTTTTCTTCAATCTTAAAGATATTTACTTTAATTTATAAATTAAAAAAAAAACTACTTATTTTAAGTTTTAACCCGCCTAACAAATTTATTGTCAATTATTTACTGAATTGACTTCATAGACAAGTGTGCATTGATTTATTAGCGAAGAAATTATTAAAATGAATACTTTCAGATAAATTATTAGTGCTCATGGGTATCCATGCAGTGCTCTAAACCATTTACTTGTCCGTTAAATACTTGCCTACTCGAAATTAGTAAAAAAAAAAAAGAAAAAGAAAAAAATTATGTTAGATATTAGAATTAAAATTAAAAGTTGAGAGACGTGTTTCACACTTCAGACCAAATATATATTTTTTTAAAAAGGTTAAAAATAACACATGTGATGCGACAGAATTACATATATATTGTTTTGAACAATCTCAAAACAAGTTTCAAATGTTCTTTTGAACACTTCAAAATTGCATGTCGGTCAGTCATTGACATGGTCAAGAATCTAACAAAAACGGTACTTTTAAACTTTTGAAACAGTAGTTATTATTTTTTTTTTTTCTTTTGGTCATTTTGAAATTTCTACGCTGCAATAAATTAAAACTTCCAATTTTCAGCAGAACTTCAATTAACTAAAAAAAAAAAGTAAAATTACTTGGGTAATTTTAACTTTTACCGGGAACATCCACGTGGCGCTATCTGGTTGGCCTGTGTGGGACATTCACTCACGCCTCTGGTGACTCAAATTATTGGTGATTAAGCCCTGGGGACGAGCTCTGTTTGAACTCCAGATTTTAAGACGAACGTTTGAAATTTAAATATTAAAAATTAATTTTTTTTAAACAGAAATTTATTTTTAATTTTCAACAATGCTTTGAAGTAAAATACAGATTTAAAGTAGACTGTCACGTCTATCTGTCACCTGCATTTTCTTTTTCATTATAATTTCTATGGTGGTTTTTATTATAATTTATAATTATGGTTTTTATTAAAATTTTACTAATCTGAGATTTTAGATTTTTTTTTAGTACAGAGTTTTTAGTTGTAGTGTAGGCTTTGTAAATATTGTTTAGTTCTAATCATAGCTTTTAATTCTTCCTCATTCTATTTGGTGATTTGTATTATGATTTTAGTTTTTATTTTATTTGTTCATGGTTTTAAAAATTCTACAAAATAGTTGAACTTGTAATTTTGAAATGTTAATCTTTTAAAAAGCTTCTTTATGACGTTGAGAATGTATATGCTTTTGAGTTTTGGAATTAGAAGGTGATGTTCCATTTTATAATTATGGCCCTAAGTTTAAGTTAAAATAGTGTCTATATTCAATAAAATTTTGATAAGAATTCAATTCAGAAAATGGTTCTAACAACCTTTCGATCATGAATTATGTATAAGTGAAATAAAATCGATAAGCATCATAGGATCTAAATTCAAAATTGGTATTTGTGTATAACTTAATTTCAATGTAATTGCCATAGACTCAATTTTGTACCTTCTTAAGTATGCGTACCAAATCATTAAAAAAATATATTAATAAAAATATATAGGTACTCAGTCTTATAACTTCAACATTTTCAAGGTATTAGAACTAAATTAATTTTGTTAATCCTTAAAATATCACAAGAACTAAAATACGTCTAAACGCACTTAAACATAAAATTAACTAAACAAATCTTATCTAAATCTTCTTTTTCCATTTAACTTATCTTATCTTCAACTTCTCTAATATTTTTATTCTTCTATCACGTCTCTGACAACGTAAAATTATCTACCACATTGTTGACAATATAAAACTGTCTATCACATCGTCATAGCTATACTGATCAAATAATTTCCCATTTTCCCCCTCTTTTCTTTAGCCTTAGTCTTTGTCCCTTGACTTCATCCCATAGCCTAGTCCACATCCACCTACCCCATTCTTATTCCAATTTGGCCTCATTATTGAACTGAAAATTGGGGGGATGTGGAAGGGAGGGGCAACGGTAGACGGGAGAGAAGATTTAATCTAAAGATTTCAACTCTGACTTCTTGATCAGAAACGAGTGTCAATTATTGCTGAACTAAACACATAAAATCTCAAATTAAGAGATTGTAGGTTCGATCCCCATATAGTACTAAAAAAATATTTAAATGTTTATTCGTTTGCATGGATAAGAGACACTATATTTCTTGCTTTTTTTTTAAATGGCTTAAATTATAATTATTATAATACAGAATTTAAATATTTTGGGAACAGTAAACACGATGGGGTAATCCGTGTCCTTGTATTGTAGTTGTCCCGATAAATCAATCAGTAAAAGCAGCTCTTGTTTTTCCCCGGTTCTCTCTCTCTATAAATACCCAATTATCCACGCCAACGCTTCACTTCTCCTCTCTCATTTTTCTCTCTCGAGAGTAATTCTAATGGTTATGTTCATAACAAAACTCTCTTCCACTTCCACACTCTCTCCAATTTTCCTTTTCATTTTCCTCTCAACTTTCCCGGAAAAACCGCCTTCCCCCAACCTAATCAAATTTTCCTTCTGAAGTCAATCGTTTCTTCCTTTCCAATTTTCATCGCCGATCGAATGGATTTTTTCTTCTTCGACAAGGCGGAGAAGCCTCCCACCGCTATTCCGAGATCGTCATGCAATCTCCTCCAAATCTTCGCCAAGGTTTTCCGCTTCCTAGAGCTCTGCCTCCTTCTGGTTTTTCTTTCGTGGATTCTGTCCAGGCTGCCGTTCGCCGTTCGAATTTCCGGCGAGTACTTCACCAAGCTTTT